TAACTAATTGATTCTGATTTCAATGGATACTAGAACATACCTGTAAATATCAATGCTGTAGCATAGTTCACATCCTCAACAGTCTTGGAGTAATTTCTTGACAACTCTCTTAATTTCTCAGTTGCATGCATCAGAGACATTGCACTGTGAACCTGTATTGAAGATAAAAATAATGTATACCAAATTATCAACATACAACTCATAATTTTTTTCACATATCTCGCAAGCAGAAACCTTTTATAATGTTGCTGATCTAATTCGTCCATGGGCCAGGTGAGCTGGGAGAGCAACCTAAGATGGTAAATTCACATTATGATTTTAAAAAAGGAAGGTATGTGTGAAGCATATTTTGATATGATAGCTTTGATATTTCTATCGTACATCAAAATATCTCCATATTCTGCTATATCATATTCACGTTTTGTTCTATCGAAATTCATATTTTGCTTCTTTTTATGTGATGTATTGGCGGAGGCATATTACTTTTGTTAACCCTCTTTTGCATTATAGGCAGATACAAAGTTTTGGTTAATTATTCTTCTCTCTCTACTTCAGATGCCACAAACCTTCCAAAATACGCCAAAATGCATCAGTTTTATTGTCAAATCATTTGCATGAGACCAACCAGATTTCTGATTTGCTTAGTTGTTTAAATAAAGTCAGGAAAATATATTAAGTTTGTCAGTAAAATACTAATACTTACCTGTGCCTCACCAGACACATGCTCGGGAAATGCGGTCACTAGCAAGATGCAGGCTGCCAATCCTGTAACAGCATCAAAGTCCTGTACATCCACTTTTGCCATGTTCTCAGCCACCAAGTCCGTTATCTACAGTTGAAATACAGCAATAATTTGTCCGTTGAAATACAGCAATAATTTGCATCAATAGTAAATCCACAGATACACCTTTTTTTTTCAAAGTGCCATAATAGTCCTTTCACAGTGGTAATTTTCTTGAATCATATACGTGAGATTCCTACTTGACCTCCAGTACAACCTGCCTGTCAGTCTGCGGTTACATAATTCCCCCTCTATCTTGCTTCCTAAATCTACTGTATTCAAATAACTACGAACACGCAAGCAAAGAAACACAAATAATCAAAACACATATAATCCAAGATAATGTACCTCAGTGATGTCCTCCCCTTTGTTGCCCAGGTAAGCTACAATACTAGATGCTATCACAGGACCGCTGAACGCTTCCGCCGAAGACACCATTGACAGTAAGTCATAGAACGAGCTGACTGGATTGTTGAATAAATCTTCTCCAAATGCAATCAAATAATCTATGTCGGGTGGTGTGATCTAAACAGAGTTTAAATTGATACAAAATGTTAAATTGAATGGGGTAAATAGGCAAGATGACTAGCTTTCTATATTTGTGACGCCTGAGTGGCTCAGCCTTTATTTTGGTATCAATTTTTGCTTTGGTTTATTAATTTGTTTATTTGAAAGATATTTAGTATACACAATGTATACTGCACTTATCTTGCTAAAGACTCCCAATGCGCAGCATTTATGTGTATCATGGCTCGAAATTAAAGGTGCCTCAATGGCCAATGGCCACTAAAATGTGGGCTGGGACAACTAAAAGGACACTTTGACACATTTTAGGGACAATAGAAAAATTAGAACTTTAGAATATCAGTCCTGCCAGCTTTTGCATCCGGAAAATTCCCCTCGAAATGTCTGTCTACTCTGCATGTATAGTGCGCCTGGGAGTGAACAGAAGCAAAATAAAGTTGACTCCATACAACACTTCCCAAACATCAGGTTGGGACATTTCATCCTCACTTCAGGACAATTAAGATTTATTTTGGGACAGTGCTGGGACAATAGGAAGAAAAGTTAATTTTGAGGCCTGTGTACATGTATGTACATACAGGTAGTAGGCAAGGCCATTGGTCATCCTCGATAACGACGGTCGAACAAGAAGAATGTACATATACGGTTTAGCACGATCTCACAAGAAGATGGCGATAATCACCACATGATGAATAAATAAATAAATCAAAATTATCCACTTACAACAATAGGGTCTAGTTGAACGGTAGAGCTGCGTCCGTCAGCACTGGACACCACCACTTCTATTGTTATGTTACCTGGAGCGAAGTCCAACATGGGTGTGTAGAAGACCTAGTGACAATACATTTAGATTAATAATCACTCAGCTGCATGATTCTTTAATATTACACAGCTAGCTAGTTAAGATTTCACAAAAGTGTAGTTTTTGACAGATTGCTATGATTTGATCATTTAAGGCTGGTTTAAACCAATGCGTTGACGGAATCAGAATCAGAAACAAATTACATATACGTCCTTTGTCTCAAATACTTTGTCAATAGCACATATCCATATTTATACCTATCTTTAATTTATTTTGGTTTATCTCTTAATTTATTAGATCTTCAGACAGCTGGTTGGCCATTGGATTTTGAAAAAAATCGATTAATAAAGTATCTAATAAGTATACAATTTATTGTATTGGGCAATGTATGCTTTTGAGTTTTAATCCTTCACTATATTAAAGACAATAAAAATAACATCTATATCCCTTAAAAGATATAAGTGCATATCTGGGATGGAAATGGCAGCTAAGAAAAAAAGAGGCGAAGATCGAGAGAAAAAAATACGTTGGTATAAAAAGTAAACAAGACTTACCCAACCAGAAAACACGTTAACAAAGATGTCAACGGTAGTAGCTGGGCTATCTCCTGGAAATTTAACGGTTGCTAAATCGACGCCACTTGGATCAATCTTGAATTTAATATCCATTTTAAGTGGACCAAGATCATCATAAAATTCTGCAAAACAAATCAAGATAATTATGTTCTTCTAATGGCTAATGAATAAAAAGGAGAAAATAAGATGTGTTAATTAATTTCATTTTTCGGGACTCATTTAGAAACCCACACACCGTCAATGCTGCCACCAAAAGGGTTCGGACTACCACGACAGAACCACCAGAAACAGAGACAAATATAGACCAATTAAATATAGGACTGATCGACTCAGGAACTCCCCAATATCGTACATTGTTCGCCTTTTAAATGCTTGATCAAATAGTTAATGTTTTTAAGGATTTCCGTATCTTTGTATTATTAACTTAAAAAGCTTTTAATTCCGTTTTATACTCGTATTATGGTACAAAAATTAAATTGTATTATACACCAATGTTATTTGTTATACTTATATGTAATAAGTGACCCTATGTTTTATCTTAATACGAGCTCTGAAAATGTTTGTAACGGATCAGCAATTCAGCCCGCGGGCTGCAAGTGATATTGCACTTAAATAAAACATTCATCATCATCATTTTCCTGGAAGTAGACTTTTTGGCTTCCTAGACATCCATATTGCAATCAAGTTCTCTCTGAAATTGTAAATCCCAGATTTTAATCCCCCGTAAAATATTAATTTTTATTCCTATTCATTCTAAGAGATCTGGAGTGGAAGGTTTGATGTTCACATATTTTTTCCTTAGAAAAGTGATTTTCATCTTTCCTGGAATATAAGACTTGCTACCACATAATTTTATAAACACTAGACACCTTCGCAGACGATGCAGAACTTGTCCACTAATGAAACCCCATCTTGTGGAAAGACAGAGCAAACATTCGGTGGTATTTCTGCCGAGTTGTCATGGAGAAGACTGCTTGGTGTGGGATTCCTAATCACAAGGAACCGATACTCTGCTATCCGTGGAAAATTCGGGTTAAGGTAGTTGGTAGCTCTAATTGTGTAGTTTCCTGGAACCTGCAACAGTATTTAGAAATCAGATATTCTAAACATCCGAAAAATAATTAAAGATTTACACTAGAAGGCAGTATGACTCTCACGTTTTTCTGATGTTTATGTTTCCTAAACACCTACCGACCATAAAGTTGTACCATAAAGTTGTAAAGTTGTGAAAACAAGGCAAATCAAGTAAAACGTTATTTAATTTCATTCACCTTTTAACCCAAACATACAAATCTTCCAAAAACATTTTTTAGTCTGGAGATTAAAGGTAAATAACTCTCAGATATATTTTAGTTTAAGAGTTTACTATTCAATGTTAAAGAATAACGAAGTATCTGCATTGTAGATACATGTTCTAAAATTACTATGATTATTTTTATTCCTTGTTTTTCTTTAAATGTAAATAAAATATATTGTATTGCAGCCACCGAAAAGTTTGCGAGATAGACTCATAGTTAGATAGAATATGAAATTTTACTTACTGTGAAGACATTTGGACGAACTTTCAGGTCAGTGTCATCAGCGAGTAAGATGTCGCGTGTCCAGTTAACGCCTGGAAAATCTGACGGGGCTTCCACTAGCGTCCATAGGTTAAGACCGGAACTGTCAGCGATGACAGGATGCAGACCGATATGAAGCATATCGTGAGCGTGGAAGTCACCAGGGTTACAGTTTATGAAACATCTGTAAGAATAAAGTTAACTATTAGTTGCACTATAGGAGTACCAATATGGGTGTAAAATATAAAGGTTTATTAAACATTATTTATTAACCAAAATTAACACATAAAAAGGTTTCCCCTTTCCAAAGAAAAACCATTTATTCAGCATTAGACAGACAATAGAAATTGCCGCTTTTTTCGGAACTATGACTTTAAAAACAGGTAAATGACCTCCTTTGCCCTGATTCTACTTAATCCTAGTACTTCCCGTCGGCAGGTTCCAGGAGCTTCTAAAGTTTAGTGACTCTGAAGTTCGTTTGTTAAATTGGAGTTGGAAAAATCTATGTTGATGTGGTCTGTCTCAATTGTATTTGTGTGGTATGCATTTTCTTTGTTAGTATACGCATGCACGTTTATTACCTTCGTGAAAACAATGTTGTTTTGCTGTGCCTATGTGATTGTTGCAATGAATATGACGGGGTTTAGTTTGTCACAGAGTTAGAAAGTCGATAACCCCCTCATGTTCGAATATACTCCTACTCTAGACAATCAGTCTCTATGACACATGTTGCGTAAGAAGGTCCCATGTACATTGCATGGCAGTTTTACCAAGCAATGCTCTTTTTCATTTCTAACCGATCCTAAAACGTCGTAAATTGTTAACATTTACACATCATAATGATAGGCACTGGCTCGGAACCCAGCATCTGTACGTGTTAGACAAGACCCTAAGCGTTTAGCATTTTCAAAAGATCTGAATATGTCATAGAGGTGTTTTACCGAATTGTTTTGAAACTGATCAAATGTATTTAGTATTTGAAAAAAAAAAAACAATAAAAACAACAAATTGCATAAACTTCGATTTAGAATATAATCCCAAGACGGTGGTATAGTCATAAAGTATATACTTAAGAATGTAATGCCCCAGGTCAGATGCTCCTACAGTGTGTATGTCGATGTAGGTAGAACCAGCTTGATGTCCCTCAGCGCTGATGACCACACTGACTCTGACAGTAGAGTTCAGCGGAAAACCTGGCCTTGTAAAAGTGTTGAAATGTAAGACACCTGCTTCTGGATCCGTAAATAATTGTTGGCTTCCGAATAGATCTTCGCAGGCCGATATTCCACCGGTGGTAACTGAGGATGATTTGCAAACGATTGGATTTGATATTAATGTGATTGATAATCAATACATAAAAGATTGCTACTTTGAAGATTAGTGTAATCTATAGCATTTTGTAGAGATACTATGGATTTTGTTTAGAGATAAAGGTGATATCCTTTATAGAGGTTCTATGTGCAGAAAATTACATTTGACAAATAATCATTGACCACAGTGTAGCGCTTTTCCTGTTAACTTGCCAATTGAATTTTCCAAGTGCAATAAAAAGAAAAAAAATGCGATATATTAAATGCTTCAAAGGACAGAACTTATGATTTTGAATTTAACGTCTTCTTGTTAACGTTGTTGTCGAGTTTCTTTATTATAAATGCTATATAATACCTGGTGCGTTCGGAAAATGCACTGCTTCACAGGTCCAGGTGTAGCTTAATTGGTCTCTGGGTATCCGGCAATCAGGATCATGAGACAACGAAGCAACAACAAAAAAGTGACCAATAATCAGGGTTCTTGCGCTCAAGCCGTTTGTTGTTGCAACTATAGGGAACGGTAGAACCTCTACCCACGTCTGAGCCACACCAATGCTGGTGTGTCCAAGCGTCGGGATATCCATGGTCACAGTAACCTGAGAGAACAATAATCAATTTTAAAAAAAAATTGGTCATTTTCAACGTAAGGCCACAGCAAGTAAATTTTATGGATGACATACTCCGCAGACTCCAAATCTAATGCGAGCGGGCGAAAAAAAAACAAGACGGGCCGAAAAAAAACCCAAGGTTCCTACATGTTCAAATATTGACTCAATCATTGTACGAATGGTTTTCATTCAGTGGGAACATCACATATACACAGCCAGCATCACATATCACTGCCTCAAAGAGAGAAATAAAGAAAACATTAAATCAGAGCCATTTCTTGTCTCCTCTCTTCATAGTTATCTGCCATCCACCTTCCGGCATGGCAACAGACATCTTTGCCCATTTTCGGCAGGTTGATCACTGTCAGAAGGCAACAAAATTTCTTTTTTTCCTTTTTTCAAAATCAGGCGAAAATCAATGAATTACATTGATATAACTATAATATGAAGTAACATACAACTAAAACAACAGTTGGATAGCTATTCCCTACTTTATTGGTTAGGATTTTTAATTGCATAATGCAAACTGTTGATTTTCAAAATAAAATAAAAAACGTTCATGCCCCGCATTCCAATGCTGGAGCAGAAAAGCTTGAAATACCTACCAAAACACTTGAATAAAGACATACTGTCAGTATGGAAATGCTCTGTGCAGGTGTTAATCAAGTTAAATCCCAACAGCCAATCAGCAAGAAATGCTCTGTGCAGGTGGAAATGCTCTGTGCGGGTGTTAATCAAGTTAAATCCCAACAGCCAATCAGCAAGAAGTATAGAGGAAAGCTGCATGCCTATTGGTTGATGCCCTGCATTCCATTGTGATGACTCAAAAAAACTCAAATAAAACCATTCTAAAAGCCTGTATCACAAAAATTTAAAAAACGCCTAGGGGTATTTGCCCACTGTACCTCCATACCAAATTTCAGGACCTTAGGCCCTAAAATGAAGAAGCTGAATCCATTTAAAGATATGGCAGGAGTAGGAGAAACATCAGAAAAAGCAATATGGGTTCACCACCACTTCGTGGTGTGGTGAACCCATAATTAGAAGGGCTGTTAGTCAGGCTGTGACAAACTGGCAGCAGAGAGGGATCATTGGAGCATTTTTAGAAGAAAAACTGGTGAATTTTATAAAATGGATTATTTACAATTCCTAACCTTTGTTGCAACCTTGTCTATTTAGTGAATGGGAGGAATTGAAGATCCTTATTTTAGCTCTTTTAAAGCCACTCTATGTAGTTTTTTGACAATACAAAAAGTATATTTTTCATTCTTTTCTTTACATAGTACATTGACTTAACCCTTTAGTATTCCAAAATTATACCCCGCAACAAAAAATACAACATCCTTGCTCCTTATAAGCTTAGAAAACTGTGAATGATCTTCTATTCAACCTCTGGCCACACCAGGCCACACCGTACATATGGTATTGCCCACTGCCAGTGGTTTGACCTACATCCCAGTGGGGTGTCAGTTGATAGCTTACCAGTTTCTGAAATACCTAATCGTTTACCAGATCTTTTATCTCTTTTGAAGGGATGATGACCACAGTTTATTCATGCCCAACAAAATACTCCAAGTTGATGATTATATTCCACCTCATGTGAAAGATATAAGTTTTTTCTAAGGAGACTCTCACATCTTGTGACATGTGCCCCTGTCTATCAAGCCTGGCATGCCCGGGCCAATTAGCCACCCCAGGGGGGCAACCCCTGTATGTTGTTGTTGTCCTGAGCAAACCGGTGCCACCGGGAACCCAACAAGGACTGTTTGAACGGACAAAATATACGTAAAAAATGTGAAATAATGACACAAATGTGTTGAAAAGTGATAGTAACTGTTAATAATACCAAAATTTAGTAAAATTAGAATATTTCAAATTTTGCGAAAAAAAAATACATAGAGTGCCTTTAAAGCATGATCGGTCATTTTTAGTGTGACAATTTGTATAGCGATATTCACAAAGTAAAACAAAAACCTGGAATACACCGTTAATAGGCTTGAATGTCTTCAAAATAATATTTATTTTTGATATTAACACTAAAATTTGAACATCCAAATTTATCTGAAGTTATAATTTCACCTAATTTAAAAATAGCTTTTCATTACTACAATTTACGATAATTTATCACAGGTAAAGACAATGTGTTCTCAAGTTCCTCACCTGCACCATGATCAGACCGGCAGGTAGAGTTTTGGACGGCAAGTCGAGTCTTAACTTGTCGGTAAAGACGTCATTGCGATCCGGCAGGACTTCGTGAAACGTCCCATGTCCACGCACCGTCCACTTTACTGACACCTTGGTGCACACACATAAACACAGAAAAATAAATATAGAAACATAATTAGCATTTCAATATAGAATAGGATTCGGTGCAAAATCAACGGTAGAAAACATTAACCAAATATGTCTATTAATATTGGATTCTCCTTCGTAGAATGACATGTTGCATATTTAAATTAACTACGTTTGTAATTTACAACAACATATAATGTAACATTGGATATAAAGTGATTGTCAAGCCCCTGGCAACAACACTGACATCAATACGGCGTTATAAAACGACGTTATGCACATTTAAACTGTCGGCAATCTTGGATTGTCAATCTTAATTTTTTTCATATTAATTTTTTTATTATCAAAATACAGCCTCAAAATGCAACTAGAATTTGCTAAAGATGTTTATATGAGCATTTTTTTTATTTTTTAATAACAAATAGTAAAAATGTAATAACACTACAGATAATGATATGGCCCGCCTACTTAGATTTTTTTCAAACGACGTTATAGCATAGATTATGCACATTTTATTATCAAAATATAAGTAATTATTTGTGTATGTTTCATATGATAGAATTTGAAATCTGAAAAATTCTAATTTTCAAACCCAGAGTTCTTAATTCAAAGCACCCATTTAGAAACGTTGGGTTGAATTTTGATCCAGAGCAAATTTAGCTCTCTTTTTCTACATAGCTGATATTTTGGAAAGATTTCAACCTGGATGTGTTAAATTACAAAAAATAACCTGCCGTGCGAAAACTGCCAGGTTATTTTTTGGGAACAGTTAAGGCTGAATGTTCTTATCTTTACATCACCGGTCTCTTTACATTTTTTATGAATGGTAATAAATTATGAGAATAAAAGCGTTTGCGTATTGTTACCTCATTTATTATTTATTAAAAAAATGCTAAAAGGTCGCAGTGAAGATAAAGGACGCCGTAACATCCTACTTTACCCACAACCCAATGCGGCCCGAAACTGTACGGTTACCCATGGGGAATTAAGCCGTTTTCTATATACTGTTATACCTTCCGCCTCCTTGCATTACTAATGCATTGTGATACGTTCATCGCGGTCAGTTGCTAGCTATAGGGTCTTTTACGTTGGTACTTTAAGATTCTCTACATTTTTGGCTGAAATCCTGAAAAGCCATTAGCAGAACAACGAAACCACGACCACAGTACATCATGGAAAGAGGAAAACGAACAAAAATCATTTTTGCTGCATTACCATCAAAACCTACCCGGGTTATATCGTTCACAAGACCAGAAAATGTACTTACTTTGTAGGCAAAATCACATTGGAACGATACCAGGGAGTTAATGGTGATGTTCCCACATCGATGGACTTGAAGAGGATTGTCCACACTGCAAAAGTTTAATTAAAAAGCACTAGTAACAAATACAGACACTAAAAGGCCACACCGATTTAACTGTATTTATAACATCCGCGCATTGATTTTATGACCCTTAAAAATATTACGTCCCCTGAGTCTTAACCCTATTTAGACCGGGGGGGGGCTAAAAGTGCCCGCGCCAACTTTGAGGTCACATAGCATCTGAACGGCTAGGGCTAGAACTACCAAACTTGGTGACTTTTCCTAAAATATTGTTGGCAACAATTTTCTATCATTTGAATAAAATAATGATTTTTTGTGTTGCCATGGCAACGGGTTTCTGACAGGCATTTTTTGCTAAATTTAGTAATTTTTGTTTCAACAATAGAATTTTATGGGTTTTATGTCAAGTTACTCATGGTTTCTAATATTAATAACATCCCATGTAATTTTATGTAAATTTTATCATTAAATATGCATAATTTATGCTAATTTGATGACGTCATTGGCCAAAATCCAAGATGGCGGACCATATCATTAGAACAGGTATATACAGGTTATTTTCCTTAAAATTTCATCAATACTTCCATTTCTTTTTCCAAAAAAAGGTTTAAATGAAGGTCGTTAGTATGTTTACAATGTATTTTAGGCTTTATCACAAAAAAAATCTATTTTTGAAAATTCAACATTGATGATCCATGATGGCGGATATCTTTAATATGTATGGCGTCATTTTATGACGTCACCGGTGTTGCTATGGGCAACATACGACTTAGTACACCCTAATATTCTGTCATAAACACTTTTGGTAAAGTTATGTTGTATACCATTTAGTTTTCAGGGAATAGCCTATCTAGACGGTTTTGGCCAATAAAAACACATTAATGACGTCATAATGACGTCATATTACTTCATAATGACAAAAAAAATTGTAGATATGATAAATTCTCACAAGTACACCATCCTCTGAAAATTTGGTAGTCATACGACATACTGTTAGCGAGTTCTGAGGGGGGGCCGAAAGACGCCCCCCCCCCGGTCAAATCTTGCTCAAAAAAGCCCGGTCTAGATAGGGTTAAGCCTGGGTGTCATCCAGCGTAGCCCATGGTTGCTTACGACAATTGGGAGCCGGCGGTAACTATGGAGTATTACACCCAGGCTACCAAATAAAGCTCCACGACTCAAGAACTTAGTACATACGTGCAGTGCCGATTCACTACACTACACTACAAAACGATGCAGCACCTACCTACGGCTGACATATGAATTTAAATACTAATATAATATCTTATTTTCATTCATGTACCTTTGAATCCCCTCGTGAATGTCTACTGTAACGTAGCATGGTTGGTCGCCAGGCGGTGCGTCCCCGGCGTCTAACGTGGTGGTCAGGGTACAGCCGCCAGCATGTAGCGTCTCACATGGTACCAGCACACCGGAATCTGGTTTGGCAATATATTTATTGCAGTTCATTGTAGCGGTGTGCATTTTGCGTAGATTTATATCGCCATTATGACATATAATAACAACTAATGTAATACTTTGCAAATGTAGTAAGCTCTAACTTTACGCAGCTTAGAGAAAGAGAGAGAGAGAGAGTAGATCTAGATATATCGACCGTTTGATAGATGGATAGATAGATAGATAGATAGATAGATAGATAGATAGATAGATAGATAGATAGATAAATAGATGGATAGATAGACACATGTAGATAAATGGATAGGTAGATAAATAGATAGATAGACACATGTAGATAGATAGATGGATAGATAGATACATGTAGATAGATGGATGGTTAAATAGATAGATAGATAGATAGATAGATAGATAGATAGATAGATAGATAGATAGATAGATAGATAGATAGATAGATAGATAGATGGATGGATGGATAGATAAATAGAAAGATAGATAGATGGATGAATGAATAAAATAATAAAAAATGATAAAACGATAGATTTATACTATTCAGTTACGGAATTTTGCTTTTACTACTTAAACGGACAAAAATGAGAGGACAAAAACGTGCATAAACGATGTTGCTCACCGCTGCAATCCCTAGAAACCCCATCAGATGAACATGAGCAGACGGTGCAGGTTCCGTTTGGTGCCGCGACACCTTCCCGACATGAGCACGAAGGGGCGGCAACATGACGACAGACAGACGACTCTACTCGAGGAAGTGATACCGCTGCCATGGACAGTATTGCTGGAATTTCATCAAATTGATTGAGACATAAAATTTTTAGAGATGTAACGAAAAAACAATATATTCTCTTCCTGATTCCCTTCTTGCATTCAGGATCTTCAAATCCCCTCGATTAAGGTCGACTGAAGTTAGGGAGAAGACTGTCAGATCTAGGATCAACTATAGCACGTCGGCAGAACGTTCTGCGCCTGCAATAAATCCTCACTGTTTTTCACAGTTTTCGTTAAATGTTTGGGTAACGTTGCATCAGCATTTTTCCTGTTAAAGACGATATCTTTTCCGACGTAACATTTGGAAAATACAGGCGGAGTGTTATCCTTATATACTCGAATGCGACATTATATACTACAAGCACTTTTTTTAAAACTAAATCTTAATAAACACCCCCGGACCACTGCCAATCAACTCGCAAACACCAGCCAACCACCAGCCAAGCATGGCTGAATCTCCGGTTCACAACTGACTTTTTAAAATATTGATATACTAGTATTTCAAGATGTAATCACAAGACATGGTGACAGCATACTGAGTTTTTAAATCAAATGAATGCCAGCACATGGGACAACACAATACTCATTTTCATTTGCGCGAAGTGAGAAAGGTCGTGTAAAGTGTCTCCCCAAGGACACAAGTTCGGTGGCATGTCAGGACTCGAACCTGGGATCTCTTGGTTTCGAGTCGAGCACTCAGCCGTTACGCCAGAATACCCCGCGATATCTATGCCACACAACCCCACGAATTTATTTAAATGTTGTGAGCAGCCGCCACCAAACAGAAGTCTACCTCGCTGATCTCCAGGTCCAGTCACCAACAGCCGACATTGCTGCCGACTGTGCCCATACACGGTCTGTATACGGACAGTGTTCCGGAGGTCATATTCGGCTATGTGTAACGGTGGCTTAGGTTAAAGTATAGAAATTTCTGTCTGAACGCTGGAGATATCTTCCAACCTATGTTGTAAAATATTAAACAGATTATTGATGAAAAAATTCTAGTTCTGTACATAAGATACACATATGTATACTTACCTGTAAGAATCAACAGCCTTTCCATTATGTTCATGATAGGGGGTCTTCCTGTCCTTGTAAATTTACACGAGGCGACCTTGTACACACAATTTGCGATGTGCAGCAGGCGTAGGTATCATCTACGCACCGTTTGGTTGATTGCTTGTTTCGAAGGACACTAGAGGTAAAAAAAGGGTCAACCGACGAGTCCTCAAGCTCAACGGGACGATTTTGACTGTTGGTTTCTTCTGAGACGTTGTACTAGAACCTTCTTAGTATCTTCTGGTATCACTGCGATTCGTGTTTCGACGATGAACCCAGTTCACTGAGTCCCTTCCAGGGTGACATCTTTAGATTCTCAGGTACAATTGACTCCCAACTCTCCGGTGATCTTAAAACCCACTGTTACATTTACAATCAAGAAATTCGTTGGCAATGTGACGATGTTTTTACCGAAATGGCTGCCAAAATATGCCAGCCTGAATGGATAGAATGCGCAACCCACCCAAAATTAATGATGCGTAAAAATGTCACCATCAATCAATCACCTTTGTTTTCAACGGTATATTGAAACATTTTCAAACGTTTGATGAAAGGTCATTGGTTGATAAGACTCTTACTCACAAAGTTAATACTTTTTTTTATAAAATACTTAGGTATTCAGAAATCCATATCTATATGTATGTGTTGTCCTAGACCTAAAGTATGTTGCATATCGTTTCGCATCAATGATTTTCGAGTACAATATAATAAGGCAAGGGATAGGGACTCGGCGCTCATGTGCACATTATATAGGTTTTGAGTGTGTCTGTTTTTGATGTAGTGTTTAACGGTCATTGGTTGGAAACATTTAAGTGTATAATATTGCATGTGTGTAGAAAACAGGATTTTCTAACCAAGAGGCTTAAAATGCAATGTACTTATGTTCTTCGAAAGCTCCGAAGAGAACTATGTTTCCCGTCTATTTCACAAACACACACAGTTAGGGTAGTGAGCTCACAGTAACGGTATAGGGGTCACGTGATTGTCTGTTCAGCCGTCGGGAAACGAGATATCATACATCGTTTAAATTATTCATATGTGACCCCCAGAGGTTGTGAAGGTTATGCGGCACGTGATACCTGTCATTCTATATTTGTGAAAAAATCTGTCATTGCAAAATTAATTGCGGGGTCGTGTGACGCAGCGTGTGTTTAGACAAGGTGTCTCGGCCGGAAGTAAATGACAGCCTGAAAAAAGCCCACTTTAGACTAGAAACGGTTTACCACTCCGAAACACCTGGAAACTCTTCGCCACCGGAAACGGTTTGTGTTTAGACACAGGGATGGACGGGTTTGGAGCCACACGTGGTGGAGGGAAAAGAGCCCCATACTTTGTACTGCGGCACAAGTTCATGTTTTTAATTTTTGTCATACATACTTCCGGGCCACCCGTAGTGTGGGATTTTTCGGGTCAAAATTATCCGAAATGGCGGGAAAAGAGCCCCACATTTTAATGCATCGTGACGTCGAGTAATTGCCCAACAAAGGATACTGAGGGCCATGTATAGGGACGGGCAATTCCGGGCGTAAACCCGGCTTTTTTTCCTTGTTGTGCCGATAGTAGTGCAGGTATGATAGTGTTGAAGATCCTGAACTGACATATTGCCGATTCCTTTGGTAGGTAGGGAGGGACATGTTAAAAAAAGCTAAAAAGTAATAGATACGTAGAATAAAGTAAAAAAATTAAAAGATACGAGCATTTTCTAAGTAAAGATACAAACACAGGCTTCTTAGCATACCATTGGCATATGGCCAATGCCGTTTCGCGAAACCCTTTCTCTTTGGACCTAGCAGGAAGGGTTTCAGGCCCCCCGCTGAAGGTTTTAAAACCGCGGCGGAGGTGGTTACGGAATGTTTCGTAAAAACCCATAAAATACCGTTTTAGACTGAGAACGGTTGACCCATCGGAAACGTTCTTCCACCCTGAAACCCTTGAAGGGTTTCCAGGTTTTAGTGTGACAGGCGGCCCCGCTAGAAAAGTGATTTAGTTAGACTACGTGTGACGTAACTACAGACTGCTCTACACACAACAAAGAAGTCCTGGGCTCTAGCCCTAACATGTCACCGATCTTCTGCCCTTAGGAAATGCATTTTACACGCGATTTTGTACTTAATTCAAGTGATTATTACCTCCATGAAAAATGGAGGTATTGTTTTTGGCGCGTCTGTCTGTGTGTGTGTGTGTGTTTGTCTCTGTGAGTGTGTGTTTGTCTTTCTGCTCATCTGTAGTCAACATAACTTCATAACGCCTTTATGGATTATTATAATATTTGGTACGTTGGTAAGTCTTAGGAAGACAAAGGTCAGGGTCAAATATGGGACTCCTGGTGTATGACTTTGGTACTGCTGCAGAACTTCCGTTTTTGTATCTTTTGTCCTGAACATGCTATGGTCTTGACATTTTGGTGACAGATAGCTTGTCCTGTCAGGAATAAGTGGTGCGAGTTTGGTCCCTCTAGCTGCTTGTTTGGGAACTGCAGGGTACTTTCTGGCAAAATGTTTAAAAGCCAAGTTCAAATAGTAACAACGTATTTTTATCATTTTGGTGTGTAGGTAGCTGAGAGAGAGTTGTACATTTTATCAATTAATTAATTACCTGATGTTTAATCCGAGGACATAAAGGCATTTAACTAAAAATTTCAACATCAAACAGAAATATGGAAATTTACAGAAATACTATTAAGAGGAAACCAGTAGGCCATCTACGTCGTAACACACTAACACACTAACCGATACTTACTTCCTAGATCTTACAACCAGTTGTTGACGTAGATTGTCGTGAAGGTCGCGCGATACTGGTGATTTTTTCATGAATTTTGTATTAGGACAGTCAGAAAAATGATGATTATATCATAGTTAATGATAAAGTAGACAACATTTCCAAAGAAATATACAATTAGTTCTTTTATTTATAACGTCAAACTTTTACTGCGAAAGCAGGTCACTAAAATAGACAGAAAGTAGTAAAACAACATTTTAAATAACATACCTATTCGTTGTTCTTTTCATTATTGTATAGATCATATTAGCATGAATCTCTATGTCGTTTCAGCAAAAAAGCTTTTACCGCGTCCGAAGGAATATCTCAGTGAGTTCTGGAGCTGGGTCGAGCTTCTTGTAGTCACCGTTGGTATCGCATCTCTTGGAGTCTATTTCAATGCTCAGAGTATAATCGATGAGGCTGCCGAACTGAAGTCATCCCCAAGCTCTGGTTTTGTCTCTACAAAAGCGCAGTCAACTGGTTCGAAGTTTACACATACCTGCTGGCATTACTCATCTGTTGTGGCACGTTGAAGTTCATTCGGCGCCTCCGGTTAAACTCACACGTCTACGCCCTGACCAGGACCATCAAAAAGTCCGCCAAACCCGTGGTACTGTTTACCGTCATGGCTGGCATCGTTCTCATGGCCTTTACTCAGATGGGGAATCTTCTATTCGGCACCAGGCTGCAGGATTACAAGAACGTGCCGACCAGCCTACAGAGTCTGTGTATCATGATGTTAGGTAGTTTTCATTTCGATGCTCTCGTTGATGGACATTGGGTCCTTGGTCCCTTGATTTTCTTTTCCTATCAGGTCTTGATGCAGTTTATATTACTGAGTATGTTTATGGCTATCCTTATGGATGTATATGCAGAGAAAAGTCAGGATCCCAATACAAACAATTTGCAGATGGTTGCTTGGATCAGAGAGACCGCGTTAGAGGCTACTAAAAAAGCAAAGAGTAGTGTGTCAACGGTTGGAAAGAACAACGACAGCAAAACATCTCAAGGGGAGAAACCAGATCTGGACAATCGCAGAAAGTTTTCGAAAGTGCTCGAAGAACTTGCTGAGGTTTCAGAGATTTAGTATGCACATTCCACATCAACTGGGCTAGCTTTAAAATTACCTCGTTTGTTAAAGAAGCTGATAAATATTCCAAATGAATACGATGATTTTCTTACCCTTCTTCATGTTTCTATGTAAATAAGATACCATGACAAGAAAAATGGAAAAGTAACTTGTATAAAATTACGATAGACGTGAATAATTTACATAATAAATCAAGAAAGAATGCATAATTTAATACATTAGACTTTGTGGTCGCATTTCTGGGATATCCTTTGAATTTGGAGTTCTTTCTGGTTCTGCTGTAAATAATGGTGTATTGCTGCTGTAAATACCGATTATGATAATACTGAAATTATGGCTTCTTAGATTTTAATTTAAAATGTATAAAAGTCACGCATATCTCATGAGCTTGTATAATGGAGTCCTTATATACTAATATAGTCTACATTAATAAAATGACTTGTACTTTAAATCGTTTAAAATCTTATTCAGTTACTCTAAGTAAGACTGCCTTTTTAAGGTTTCCTTTTATGTGTGTCCCGTGTTCAACAGTATTGAACACTTCAGTCTAGCAAACGTCTCTTCCAAGGCATGATTAATGCAAAACAAGAATTCGTACATCTCATACCACCATGAAACTGAGGTCCGCCTCTGGTTGGTGTGTTGGTAACATGGGCAGGGACCTTGCAATGGCAGTGAACAAGTTAAATTTTCAAGTTACAAATATAGATAGTGTGCCTACAGTTAGACACTTTTGATAGGGCTGTTTATTAATGAGTAAATCTGTCTGATATTGACATTTACTGCATGCAATTCCATAGCACATTTCCGTCGACAACCTCTCTTCAGTTTTGGGTGACCCCATTAATAGCTAGAACCAGGCCACCGTGCATAACAAGCGTCTGTAGACGTAAAACGAAAAACATGGCAGAGCGATTCGTGCATCAAGATCATTGGCTTTTTTTTTATTTGCATGATGTGTACATAATGATTTTTGATGTAAGTCACTATTGACGATTTCAACATTTTGCCGAAAATTCATCATGTTACTGTCTGGTTAGTCATGCAAACAATCTCTTTAATTGCATAATCTGTATAGTTATTGTTGTACTTGTCAAAGATTGCAAAAATGTTTTAAGTACTAAAGTCATATTAGATACGTTTTACCAGTAAATAGCAGAGAACAACATTGGATAGTGTTTAAAATACTTTGCTAATTTCCAGAGAAGATAAACACTTTGTCGTTTTACAATCGCTACCATGTTGATTCAAACAAAACCAAACTCAACAACAGCTATGTTAAAATTTCAAACATTACATTATTGCATTGAACATTATATTATGGACTTAAAATGAAGTCAAAACTTGGGTAAATCAAAATTCCTTCTCATATATACAATCCTAAAACACGGACTAATAAGAGACTTCGCATTATTAATTATATTATGGACTTAAAAAGAACAATAACGAGGGTGACCTAAATAAGAAGTAGGAATCAGCTTAGCTTAACTTATAATGCTGCAAGTAACAGGTATAAAGTGGAATACTGGAATTGTAGAAATCTCTTTTGAGAGTTATTGCGATTTTCGTAAATATCTTTAAATATATTGTTTACAACAAGAAGTATGCCTTTACAATATTTGACATTTATAGTTACAACTCACACAAAATACTCATTTTAAACAAATTAGAATAGTGTATGCGAAATGTGAAGATCTTGTCTAAGGCACACCAATATTACACTTTAGGTCATTTAGATGCAATGTTATGGAACAGGAGACAATATGTATATACATTATGGCAAAAAATTGTAAAAATGACAATTTTTCACAGATTTTAAAGTAATGTATATCAGAGATACGACTGACGTTTAAGGAGCATAAGTCAATGCCCATATTAAATTCCAGGTCATTTGGTGTTAATGTAAGTTTACATGATCTTAAAATGTACATGTCTTGGCTGAAAATAGCAACAAAGACCATACCAATAGAACATGGCATGGTCGATTAACATCAGAGTTTAAGAGTCCAATGCAGACATACATCCGAAGACCTGCACCTCACAGAGTGTAAGGATCCTGCCGGAGCCTTTCAGAGCTATGCCCACATATCGGCCGGTCAGTCTGCCACAGTCCACCGTAATGACGTCCTTGCCTCTGACGGTCTGCGCTCCCCCACAGGTAGGGTTGGCCAGCATGTTGGGATTGTCACCCACGTAAACCATGAAGCCTTCCAGCCTTTCTGAGCAGCATTTTCCACAACGTTTGGTGACGACCACCCGATCCACACACAGACTGTTGCCCAGGTCGACTCGCCACCATGGGTTGGGCTCTTGTTTTGTGTGGGAGCAGGAGTTGCTTGTATAAGAATTACTATAGTCTCCATCCACAGCTCGACCTGGGACTCCTTTATGCCAAGTACTCGACTGGATTGCAGGGCGATTCAGGGCAATGTTGGTGGTGCTACCAGCTATAAAGGAGAAGGAGAACACAAGAAATTACGGCCAACGATCTTACTTCTTGTCTTCTAGGACTAATTTTTGAGGAATTAAAACATTGCTGAGATAAATGTAGATATAAATGCAGCATACTCGGTTGGGTCCAGATGGGTGTATTTGTATAAATAAACATTACCACATGTCTTCCACATTGTACTATGATTTGTTTTCTTGTTTTAGGCACCATAAGGATGAGCACATAACGTTTTACCAGCTTTTAAAGAAAGTAACTGTATCAGACACTTACCAAACTGTGCGGAGCTTGCTTCGTTTGAACTCCCTGTAGAGCAAAGACAAATAAAGAAAGTAGTTTATTTAGGGTTAATTAGTACTTTAGGGTTAATTCGTTAGCGGTATCCCTATTTAGAACAAAGGCGGGGGATGGGGAGTTGAGGCCCGCGCCAATTTCTATCTCAGATAGCGCATTTCAGCTTGCGCTAGAACCATCTACCAGGCTACAGTGCAAAACAAGTGACTGTAGACGTCAAACAAAGAACATGCCAGGCAGGCCGATTCGTGCCTCAAGATCATTGGCTATATTTTATTTGCATAATATGTACATAGTGATTTCTGATTTAAGTCAGTCATACAATTCCAATATTTTGCCAAAACTGCATCCTGTAATTGTGTGGTTAATCATGCAAACAATCTCTCTACTTGCATAATCCGTATAGTTATTGTTGTACTTGTCAAAGATTGCAAAATTTTTTATGTGCTAAAGCCATATTAGATGAGATAAGTTTTACCAGTGAATAGCAGACTACAACATTGGAAAGTGTCTAAAATACTTTGCTAATTTAAACAGAAGATAAATGCTATGTCTATGTCACTAAACAACAGCTTTATTAAAATTTCAGACATTACATTATTGCATTGAACTTTATATTATGGACTTGAAATGTAGTCCAAATTAAGCTTAATTTTTTTTCCATATAAACAATCCTAAAACACGGACTAATAAGAGATATTCACTATATTATTGACTAATGGAACAGGAGACAATATGTATATAGATTATGTCAAAAAATAGTAAAATATGTCAATGCCCATATTAAATTCCAGGTCATTTGGTGTTAACGTAAGGGTACATGAGCTTAAAATGTACATGTTTTGGCTGAAAATAGCAACAAAGACCATACCAATAGAACATGGCATGGTCGATTTACATCAGAGTTTAAGAGTCCAATGCAGGCATACCTCCGAAGACCTGCACCTCACAGAGTGTAAGGATCCTGCCGGAGCCTTTCAGAGCTATGCCCACATATCGGCCGGTCAGTCTGCCACAGTCCACCGTAATGAAGTCCTTGCCTCTGACGGTCTGCGCTCCCCCACAGGTAGGGTTGGCCAGCATGTTGGGGTTGTCACCCACGTAAACCATAAAGCCTTCCAGCCTGTTCGAGCAGCAGTCTTTTCGGTTGGTGACGACCACCCGATCCACACACAGACTGTTGCCCAGGTCGACTCGCCACCATGGGTTGGTCTCTTCTTTCGTGTTTGAGCAGGAGTTGCTTAAAAATAAAGGACTATCATTTCCATCCACAGCGCGAGCTGGGGATCCTTGGTGTAAAATACTCGACTGGGTTGCAGTGCGGTTCAGGGCAATGTTGGTGGTGCTACCAGTTATAAAGATAGAGAAGAAGAACGTGCCGTCACCACGTCTTGTGTTTACATGTTGGAATATATAAAGAACAGAAGCAATTATGGCCAATGTCGTACTTATTTTCTGTCTTTTAGAACTGGTTTTGGAACAATTAAAATTTGGCTGAGATAAATGTAGATTTAAATGCAATATACTCGATTAAAGGTTCAGATAGGTGTCTGTGCGTTTTTTAGCATCATTGCAAGTCTCCTCCATTGTACCATGATTTGTTTTCTTGTTTTAGGCACCATAAGGATGAACAAATAACATTTTATCAGCTTGTAATAGAAAGTGGCTGTATTAGGTACTTACCACACCGTCCGGAGCTTGCTTCTGGTAAACTCCCTGTAGTTCACAAATAAAATACGTAGTTTATTTAAGGTTATATGATAATATCATTACTTAAAGGTTGATTCAGTAGCGATATGCCTGTGGGTTTTCCAATTATGCCTTAAAGATCTTGGATGAAACATCCTGATGATATAGTCCTAATGAAACAATTTGCGAATCACATAAAAACAAGAGTGGAAAGTCCAGGGGTGTTAAGGTAGGATTAACTAAAGCCAAATTGACTCGAAATATGTAATTTTGTACGTTGAGTTCTCGATTGATTCAGCCTTTCCTAACTTTGACGCATGTGCAGTCATAGAACATAGGACTGTCCAGGACCGTGCCTGCTCCCATGGCCAATCCTAACCTATCCAGGCAGAGAACGAGACACAGTAATAACTGTACTCATTGTGAGAACGTAGCAAAAAAAAAAGTCCCATTTTACACAATTTCAATGTTATTTGTGAATCGTGAAAGCAGTTCTCCGAGCATAAGATAAACATACCCGCATACTAAATTTCAGCCCAGGTGTGTTTAATACCAGGGCTCGGGTGCTAAAATTTTGATTATAAGTTTAAATTGACCCAAAAGCAATGACCTAAAATGCCAAATATCAAACAAAAACTTTTGAGAATATTAGCCCTCTCTGACTCGTCGCCAAAAAGGAAAATTTGGCCCAAAATAGCCAACAAACACTCCATTAGACGAACATGGACTAGAGGTTGGCAGATATTGAGAGTTAAGACTTAGTTTAAATTCCGAATTTCAGGGTTCAAACAATTGTGATTAACATTTAACCTTAAAACCGCAGTAATTTTTTACGACGAATTTTACCGTATGATGAATGCAAGATTGCCCTAATGATAAATTATCTATATATCTACCTTCGAAAACAAGGTTATGTTTTCAGTAGCGTTTGTTCGTCTGTCAGTTTGTTTCTTTGCCTGTCTATCTATCTGTGAACAGCATAAATCAAGAAGCTTAATATGCATTGTCATGAAACTTGGTAGGTGGGTAGGTCTTAATGAGACCTAGAAATGATTAGATTTGGCCCCCCTGGCGGCTTTTGTTGGTACTGCACCAGGATTTCCGGTTTTGATATGTCACGATCTGGACATGCTAGGGTCACGAATTTTGGTTAGTAGATAACTCTTGGGGTAAGTAAGAAGTGATATGAGTTTCGGCAAATAGCAACTTGTTCTGGAACTGCAGGAGGGTCGTGGATAAATCATTGAAGAAGGATAAGAACTGGTTGACGGATTGTAGTGTTCTATGGTATGTGGGCAGTTGAAGTGATGCTTGTCATAATCAGATGGCAATTATTCAAATCGGGAGCTAATTTGCATAATTAATGAGAAAATTATACAAATCTGCTTCGTTCGATAATAGGACTATGAAAATTTGTAACTGAGAACGAGAAAAACATCAGAGGATATGGATTATGTAAATTAAGACCTAACTTACATAATCAATTGAAAATTGCCATAATTTCAAAGTTGTAATTGCTGGGAATTTCATACTTGCCGCATTTGGAAGTGAAGGTGAACATCAATACAATCGTCATGTAACTTCTTCAAAATATGACCTCATTTGCATAATTTATTAAGTGCTAGAATAACCTCTTTTGTTAAAATAAGGCTGTCGTTGGGTGGAGAATAGGTATGAGGTCGTACATTGAGTTTTGCAGCTTTTGTCTTTGCAACTATTGCTTCGGTTTCACAGGATTACCTGGCGGTCTGAGTTGTCTATTAAAGTAGGAGGTGATCGAAATTTGTCAAACCTGGTGGGCTGATAGGATCAGGCGGGCCAGGTAGACCATGCAAGCTCGGTGGACTTTGTTGACCAGGCGGCTCTGACGGGCCGGTTGGACTGGGTGGATTAGAATGGCTAAGTGAGCCTGATGGGTCGGGTGGACTTTCTGAAACTGTTGGGCCTGGTAGCCCAGGCAGGCCAGCGGGACTGGGTGAACCAGGAGGGCCAAGCTCGCCTGGTGGGCCACGTAGACCAGCTAGGCTGTGTGGACTTGGTGGTCCAGGTGGCCCTGACGGGCTGGGTGGACCAGGTTGGCCCATCTAGCCGGGTGGATTTTCTGTACCAGGCGGGCCTGGTGGGCAGGGTTGAATTGGTGGGCCAGGAGGGCCAAGTGGGCCGGGTGGCCTTTTTTGGCCAGGTTTTCCAGGCGGTCCGGGTGGACATGGTGGTCCATGGGGGTCAGGTGGGTCGAGTTGACCAGGCGGGACAACTGGGCCGGGGAGATCGGATTGAATTGGTGGTCCAAGAGGGCCGAGTGGGTCATGTAGACCGGGTTGACTTGTTGGGCCAGGAGAACCAGGCTGACCAGGTGAGCCGGGTAGACCAGACGGGACTTTTGGAATTGGTGGTCCATGGGGGCCGAGTGGGTCGTGTAGACCGGGTTGACTTGTTGGGCCAGGAGGACCAGGCTGACCAGGTGGGCCGGGTAGACCAGACGGGATGGGTGGAATTGGTGAGCCAGGTGGGCCAGATAGACCAGGCTGGCGGGAAGGGTTTGCCGAGCTAGAAGTACTAGGTTGCCCATTGTTTCTTGTAGAATGGACTCGTTTGGTACGTCCATCTTCCCCGGCATCCACTCGTTGCCCGGTTTTCACAGGGCGCTTGACTTGTCCTGGTGGTCCAGAGGTGTTTCCTTGTCCTGTTGGTCCAAAGCGGTTTCCGTGTCCAGCTGTTCCAGAGATGTTGCCTTGACCTAGTGGTCCAGAGAGGTTGTCCTGTGCAGGAGTTCCAAACGGTTTTACTTCTGCAGCTGGTCCAGAGAAGTTGTCTTGCCCAGATGGTCCCGAGAGGTTACCTTGACCAGGTACCGGTGGTGCAGAGAGGTTGCCTTGCCCATGTTGTCCGGAGAGGTTTCCTTGTCCAGTCGGTCTAGAAAGGTTTCCTTTTACAGTCGCTCCAGAGAGATTTCCTTGTCCTGTTGGTCCAGAAAGGCTTCCCTGACCTGCTGTTCCTGATTGATTAACTTGTCCAGGTAGACAAGAGAGTTTGATTTGTGTGGATGGTCCGGATGGTCCAAAGCGGCCATCTCTACGCATTTCATCTGTGAAACCTGCATGCAAAGGATAACATGCACGGATTAAAAAGTTTTTAATGTCTACTAAGAATACTTAACCCCCAAGCCACGGTCAAAACTGACCCTAAGTGTATATACATATCTGCCATTTCGACATTTCTTGTCAAAAACGAAATTCCTTCCATGAGTTTGTTTGTATGTATTTCTCACACGTTCTCACACGTGCAGCAATGAAAATTAAAGTACTCGCTAAACCGAAATCAAAGATAGGAACATAGGCATGAAACACAAGATAAGATCCCTTTTGAGCTCCAAAGAAGGATATAGTCAGCAGCAATGAAGTGCCTTAGAAAAATCTTAGTGACAACATACCAAGACCGTGTTACAAATTAAGAGGTCAAAAATAACATAAAGCAACAATATCACTATGGAAGGCTACCGATAGTTGCGACGAGAAGAAAAGTTAACTAGCGTGGACATGAAATGAGGTCATATGGACTGTAAAAAACAATACTTTGATAAGCAGGAAAAGGAGCAAGAAATGGAATTGCTTGAGAAAAAGGTCCAAGAGGAAAAAAAAAACTTTGAGGAAAACCTAACGCAAAGCCGAGAAGAATGGAGCAGGCAGTCAGATACTTCATCACGCTGTGCCCTGGCCTGGTGTAAGGGACAAGGTAAAGGGTACATGGGTATTTTACACGAGAATTCATTCATTCATCCATCCATCCATTCATTGAATCATATATCCACTCAAAAATCATAAAATTCCAGCAGTTTTTATTTTGTCATTTTGCCGTACTTCTACATGTAGCAACTAAACATGTCTGTGGCGTAGAAATGAGCCAAGGGTCCGAATACTAAACAAAACATTTTTTCCTCACAGTTTCCTCGCAGTATCAAAAAGCGTGTTCACAAGAAAAAAAATTCCATTTAAATAACCCTGAGAGTCATCCTACGCCACACCATAGCAGCCCATATGTATTTTGATATACAATGGCGCACATTTATGAACTAAACAAAAACATAAATAACAAAAAGACGGCCCGTCTTTAGAACTTAGAAAACAAAAGATAAAAAGAAGGCTTTCTCTGATGTACATATACAGTACGTATAACAATAAAAGCAATTAAAAGCTTAAGTAAACACCATAAGATGGCAACATTTTTGCAGATTAAGGACGTTAAAGGCAACTTACCTGTCAGCACAGTAGATATCTCGAACAGACATTGTTCTAAGGCGGTTGTTCGGTTTTGTTCAGCAAACAGAACAGACGCCAGTTGTGTAATTTTCTAAAACACCAGAGTACAGAAATTAAGAGTCAGCTATGATATGTCCAAAACACCATTGTGAGAACAATAATGGTCAGTTGTGATTTTTCCTAAAAGATAAGAGTACAACAATATGGGTGAGTTGTTATATTTCCCAAACTACAAGATTAACAAAAATAATGTTAACTTGTGATATTTCCTAATTCACCAGAGTGTCAACAATACAGGTCAGGTCATTCTCCTGAGGCAGGGTCGGTGGTGTGGTATTCTAGAATGCCTGCCTCGGGAGGATGAGGTCAGGTGTGATATTTTGTAAATCGTTAGAGTAATAACAATTAGGGTCAGTCATGAAAACACCGGAAACAATAGAGTACCACCAAGAGTGGTCATTTGTAGTATTTCATTAAACATTCAAGTGCCAACAATAAGGGTCAGTTCATAACACATTTGATATTTCCAAAAACAATAAAGTGCTAGAAATAGGCTAGCGATCATTGTAAAGGTTTCTAAAACACCAGAGTACAAACAATAAGTGTCAGTTGTTATGTGTTATACGGAACATCAGTGATGGTATTACCTGTTCTTGTTGAATCTGCATCACCACTGTGAAGGTGAAACCTGCGCTGAGCAGTACTAACACTATAGCCAAGGTGACCGCCATGCAGTTGCAGTTGGCGCGGATGACGTCACAGACGCTATGGCGACCACTCTTTCCATCTTTATCCGTGTCGCCTGTGTGTTTTATGAATGAACGGCGACAGTTAATTTAACGTTTTATCAGTCAGGGCTAAGCACAAGTCAAAACCAAAACATGATGAACAGATAAACGTACGTGAAATATGTTGTACGTAGTGCAAGGTGGTCCCAAACTATATATAATTCACTTGTCCCAATCCAGTTGACCCAGAAGTATTCATGCTTTTTTTTCAAGGGTTTCTAGCTACAATCGCGTTTTTTACGAAAAATTAGGTAAACAAAAATATTTTTAGGTTTTTAATATGAATAGTGAACACTATTGTCTAAGCATTTGGTGCCAATCT